AATCATACATCATATTCATTTGACTAGATTTTGCAAGTTTAAAACATACGTGATTATTTGATCCTTGAAATATGATTTTTTTTTCTTTAACAGATTTAAAGGCACATTGCATAAAAAGAAAATGTATTTTGTTCTGATTTCTATAGAAAACCTACTTTAAAACTTTGATTTTGATATCTAAGACATACTTTTGGTTACAAAAGCTGTACATTTCATTTTTTTTTTTACAAAGTCATACTATGTCCTCTTAATTACATAAAAAGACATACGTTTTTTTAAAATAAACCATTTTAATCTAGATTCCCTAAAATATAACAGAAATAAAATTTATTTCGTTTTTATACAATTTACCCGCTATTTAATTAAGACAAAGAGAATAAATTTCATGACTTTTTGGAGCATCTTAATCAGGTATGTTATCTTTTTTTTTTTTTCTTCCCGTTTCTTCAAAATTTAGAGATTTCTCTTTTGCTCTATTTTGATACATAAAATGTAAAGTTTTAAATGATAAATTGTATGAAAAAATAGCGTACTTTAACTTGATTCATATTTTAGGTAACATATTTTCACAACTTCTATTTTGATACCTAAAATGTAAAGTTTTAAATATTTAAGTACTCGGGTAATTGACTGAAGTATTAACCGGTTACCATGCTGATGTGGTGAGTTATATGGTATCCACCTCAGTATTATTGTTGAAGCATTAACTGGATACCGCATCACTCGCCACATCATCATGGTAACCGGTTAATGCTTCAGTCGGTTACGCGGGTACTTAATTATTTATAACTTTACATCTTAGGTATTAAAATAGAAGTTTTGAAAGTATGTTACCCAAAATAAAAATCAAGTTAAAGTACGTTACTTTTTCATGCAATTTGTCTTTTTTTAAATAGCATAATTGTTAAAGATCTTATAACTATGTTTTTTTTTATTAACTTGAATATCCAACCCGCTATGCGAGTCGACTAATCCCAGGGCGACAACCTACTTTACGGGTAGTCCAGAGTCACCGTATTTGAACCTCCATGGTCACAAAGATATTTTTTGTTTCTCTTTGAATTTGAACCTAAGACCTCCAGACACTTTTGACCTTTGGAGCCCAAGCTTAAACCAATCAGATACCACGTTATTGGTTAAATGTTATAACTATTTTTGCATAACATTATGGTGTTTAAAAAAACAATAACAATTCAATGATTGAATGAATGTGTTTAGTCTTTGTTATTAAAGCAAATTATTCATAAGAAACAATGGAGTTTGTCACGTGACTACAATAAAATCTAAATAGAAGCCAAGTTCAATGTTCCAAACAAGTACATACAAACAAACGACAATTAATAGATTAAACGATCTCATTTGTGTCGTTTTTGAAGAAGAAATTTTGAAAAGTAAACCAATAAAGAATTTGGATGTTTAAAGTGTCAACAATCCATTAATCATAAGGGTGGTGTCTGATTGATTTGAGTTTGGACTCCAAAAGTCAAAAGTGCCTAAAGGTCCCAGATTCGAATCCAAGTATAATAAAAATTCACTTGTGGCCACGGATGGTCAAATGCGGTGACTCTAGGCTATCCGGGAAGCGGGCGGCTGTCCTAGGATTAGTCGGCTCGCATACCGGGTTAGATATCCAGGTTAATAAAAAAAATAAGATTTATGAATTTTTTATAAGTTTAAAGTTCTAGGCTATCAATAACTTCTATTATAGCTTTAAGTTGGATTAAAAGTAATTGAGCTAACATTTTGCTTTGAACTATTAAAATTAACAATACAGGTGTACACTTATCAAACTTTTTGAATTGCAGCTTGACGTAGGACCTAGGCAATTTTTTAATCAATCTTCTTGTCTTCATCAGTTTCGTTTTAATAGTTAGGACCTAGAAAAATGATATGCATCAATAAACAATACTTCATGTATAAAAAATGGTTTTTAAGAGTTTTTGTCAAATGTTTTATAATATAGTGTAGATTATATAAGACATCAATGAAAAAAAATGTATATGTTATTAGAAATATAAAAAAAATTGAACGAAAAGTTGATTATCGATAATCCCAACTGGTCCTACTCAGAAACCTGAGACATGTCTTGTATTTGTGGAAAGTTGTCTTACTTTTTGTCAAAGTAAAACTTCATGTCGAAGGCTAAAATACAAATAGTTACTAAAGATCTATTTCTATGTTGATTTTTTTAAACTAAAATGGATAATGATATTGACGTTTAGGGGTTGTTTACTCGAATGGTTACCCGATAAGTGCTTATCAGTAAGAGTCAACACTGTTTTCCTAGTTTTTTTCATATATAATTATCGATGTTGAAAAAATAGATGAGACCCACAAAAAAGAGGTTAAAAATTACTATTCTGGACTTTTATGTCAGTTCTCAATTTGATGAGTTGGAAGTGGAATGACAACAAAGAATGACAAAAATGAGGTTCTTAGAAGAACCTCCATTGGAGATGCTTTTACACTCTTTTGTTTGTGTTTAATCATATATATATGATTAACCGTCTGTGTTGTCATTGTAACATTTATTTAATCATATATGATTAAGATTGTGTATCATACGTGTAATCATATAATGATATTGAAATTTCTTACATTCTTACAAAATGTTTAGTTTCTCGTTTGAACCTGTCCATATCAGTTTTATAACCATATTTGATTTATTAATGTTTATGAAATTGAAAATTGGACCAATCAAATTAGTTGTCTACAGCAATAAAAATATTAATTGAGAGATGAACGTTAAATCCATTCCTATTTATTATAATTCTGGATGAAAAAAAAAAACATTGAACTCAAAAAGTATTAATAATTCATATAAAATCGTTTTTCGAGTATTTTTAGATGCTAAATCAATCAATAATTATTTTTAAATTAATATTATCTATTACATCATTATTGCGTAGCATTGGAAATTCATTCTACCACCAAACACTAATTATGATATACTTTTTAGTATATAGATTGACATCATTTGGGACCACAATATTGATTATTCAAAATAACATTTCATGTAAATCAATATAAATCAGTTGGGTTTTTATGTCACATCATGTTAATGTTTTCATTATCATTTTAAACTTTTAGGGTTAAAACAAACTTTTTTAGAAAAAACCAACAATCTTAGAGTCAAAAGTACATCTTAGTTATAATTTGAGATTTTATTGTTGTTTTACAGATATGAGAGTACTTAATATTAATGCACTCAATATTAGGTAATAAAAAGTCAATAATGTATGAAATGTCAATAGTAGTTTTGAAATTTTAAATATAGATATAAATTAGATTGTTTCACATGGCTGATAATTTTCTGAAGGTATGAGTTTTCTTAGTTAATAACAAGAAATATTCTATTCTAATATAAAAATAAAATACATACGGATGAAATAATCAAAAGAATCAATGACAGATGAATTATGGGGAATATATCAATGTTTTGTAGAGAAGGTAATTTTAGATTTTAGTAGTAGATAGAATACTTAGAGAAACAACAAACAATACTATAAAATGAACATCCAATAATTTCAAGGATAGGCATGACAACCTTAGATATTTTCAAGAACAGAGCCACTTATAAGTATTCTTAAAGATGTAAGACTGGGGCCGTTTACCCAACGCTTACCCGGGTAAACATTTACCAAGTCATATTACCTTATCGGATGAGTATGACAAGGACCAAAAGTCTTACCCGGTAAGAACGAGATAAGGAACATGAGTCTTACCCGATAAGTGAAGGTGATGACTCTTATCACGGTAAGAGCTTATCGGGTAAATTATTACATATGATGCCGTTTTGGTGGACTAAAATCTTATCGATAAATAAATAATAGGTTGAATTTTACCGGTAAGCACTTATTGGGTAAGTTGTCTTGTAAACGGCCCCTTAGGTATTATTAACCGATAGATGGCTAGTATGGATAGAAAGAAGAGAGAGTTATATGAAAGAGCCAATTATTGCCTTAGGTTATTTTTCCTTTCCACCGCCAATTTTGTTAAAACGGGACTATTTACGAGAACAACTGTTTTATTATCTGAAATATAAGACAGATCCGCACATATCTGACCCCTAAACCCCACTTTCAAATCAAATATATATATGTAGGGGAACGATCAAATGCAAACCACTCAATTTGTACAAACCGTGCAAACCGCATTCAACCAATCATAATTTTTCATTTTGTTCATTTTTTTGTAATTATGAGAGGTTGATTAATCATTTTTATTGTGGAGGGTGTTAATCATAGATATTATCATCTTCATTATTTTAATTTTAGAGAAATACATGAAACAGTTTCATTAATGTTAGAGAAATACATGAAACAGTTTCATTAAGTATTATATGAAACAATTTCACAACCATATATGAAACAACTTCATCAAAAAAAGTATTATATGAAACAATTTCACAAGATTAAACAATTTCATGAAAAAATTTCATAAGATTAAACAATGAAATCGACAGATGAAGGTGGTTTGCACGGTTTACACAAATTTATATATGTATATATATATATATATATATATATATATATATACTTGGGATCATGTAAGACCAGCCTGTTTTTGTGAGACCCGTGAGACCAACATTTTACACTTGAAATTTCACAGCAAAATGCTGTGAAGGTGACTTTTTAAAACCTTCACAGTGTTTTTGCTGTGAAGATTCGACTTTTTTTAAACCTTCACAGTGTTTTTGATGTGAAGATTACGTGTAAAAATGTGGTCTTACGGGTCTCACGAAAACAGACTGGTCTCATGTGAACCCAACCCTATATATATATATATATATATATGTATGTATATATATATATATATATATATATATATATAAAAGCAAGTGTTAAGAGTTTATTTTAACAAATTAATTAAGTTAAATAATAGTAATAAACGCGTTGATCCAAAGTTACAACACACAATTACTACTAATATAAATAAACACAACACTCCACTTCCATTCTGCACACATCCTCCCAATACTTCCTTCTTCTTTGTCACTCTCTCTCTCTCTCTCTCTCTCTATATATATATATATATATACACACACACATACATCTCTGGATAAAAATGGCAGCAGGGCATTCACCGTGCGCTTCATGCAAACTGCTGCGAAGACGATGCGCCAAGGACTGCATATTTGCACCCTACTTCCCCTCCGACGATCCTCACAAGTTCGCCATTGTTCATAAGGTCTTTGGTGCAAGCAATGTTAGCAAGATGTTGCAGGTACATACAAACAATCTTAATCTCCGAATTAACCCTAAATTATACATATAACTTTCTGTATGTATATATATTTTCAAAAGAACTAATAAACTAATTGGTACAAATTGTTTATAGGAGCTTCCGTTTCATCAGAGAGCAGATGCAGTTAGCAGTCTGGTCTATGAAGCAAATGCGAGAATGCGAGATCCAGTTTACGGATGCGTAGGTGCGATTTCATACTTACAGAATCAGGTTTCCCAATTGCAAATCCAGTTAGCAATGGCTCAAGCTGAGATACTATGCACCATCCAACAACAACAACAACAACAACCACCATCCGCCATTAATGGTCGCTTACCAGAACTTCATCCTGCACAGAGTACCACTATCTTAATGGACGATGTCGTTTCTAATGACATGATATCATCATATCTGCACAATACCATCACTAATCACCATCATCAGCACTTCAATCTTACTTCCAATTCTGTAATTCAGTATGATTCTCTCAAGAGAGAGTCTTCTTCTCTCTGGACATGACTGGTTTCATTAATTATAATATCATTACTTTTTAGATCTCCAATGAATCCTTGACTTCCGTCATATATCTGTGTGTGTTGTTCTTGGTGTGTAAGTGTGTGAAAGAGAGTCATACTGACTTGGGGTTTGTTCTTATTATTAGAAATAGAGAGAGACAAAAAAAAAAAAAAACAATGGCAAGTTAAGAGCAGGTAAACATGGGTAGGTTTAATGGAGTCAACCTTAGCATGTGCCAAAATTAAACACTACAAAAATAAACAAACACACACACACACACATATATATATATATATATATACATATATATATATAATAAAAAACTATGGGACGATTTTCGATATCAAACACGTTAATAGTCAAAGCATAGCAGTGACTAACAACCGATTACTATCTCTAAAACAAAATCGGTCTTATATGACATCAAATATGTCTAAATGTCATAATAGCGTGATATATAGTTTTTAATATAAGAAGATATGTGTTGATAAGACTAGATGGGATGTTCAAACACGTTCTAACATCCGAGTGTAAATCTTTATATATAATGGACGGTTGTTTGATCTTGTAAACTTAAGTTCTATAATATAGTCTATTACGACATTTACATATATTTGACGAGTTAATGTCCTGTAAAACTGATTTTATTGTAATGTGTAAGTCACATCGATGGCAGAAAGACCCAGGAGAAGTTCACTTACATGTTGTGGGACCCATCTCGATTTCAGTAAAACAAGCTTATAAACCAAATCAAACGAATACAGTAAATCCTAGATGGAGTTGGGGTCTAGGGTTCATGTTTTTATTCTTTGTACACAATGCAAACGGGACTTATGAATGTTGTAAGAATAAATGGAGCCCTGATTCCTTTAGAGGGTCGGTGCTCATTTTAAATAGACAGAATCTTCTAAAAACCAATTAGCATGTTCTCAACTCAGAACTCAGAAGAAACATATTTTAAACTAAAAAAGCATCTTTAATGGTATCTATGCCAAATGCCAATCATATAAACCTCAAATGACACTAAACTTAAAGCTAAATTGGGTTGGTTCACGCGCGCGCAAACGAGCACCGGCCGCAACAGCAGGAAACTATGACCAATAGAGAGTTAGCGTGAACTACTTGACTGAACACCCCGCTTTCTTGCCCATTTAGAATTTGAGGCATAGAAGGCTGCAAAACTTGGATGTCTAAGACATTCCATGCATGAAATACTTGTACTTGCTGCATGTACAACAGTACAAGTTTCTTGCCACTTTGGCAAGGTGGTCAAGAGTGTTTGTTCACATGGAGTGAGTGGTGGTGAGTTTATGACAAGCAAAGGGTGATTAAACAAACAACTTGTGGTCTTAAAATTTAGTTATTTATATGCTTTTTAAAACCTATCCCTGCAACACATATTTGTATAAACAATTACTCAATCAATCCAAATGTAATTTGGATGAATGGAAAAAGATAAAACTAATCAATACAAATCCAAGTGAACTTACCAAAAGATTCCTCATTCAGACACACTAATTAATAAGCAATAGCATTTCTTTAAGCTAAGCCCCCAATAAGCCAAACCAAACCAACCAAACCCAATAAATTTCACGTACATGTGAGGTTTGAGGGTGTGATGTATGCAAATCTGATCTCCGTTACAAAGAATATAACGGTTGTTTTCAAAAAGACCCCTAACAATAAAGTTTTAGTAAGTTATTCTACGAGATAAATGCTAGATTTATGTTGATCCTACCTTTTGCCCCTAAACCTAAACCATTAAATATATGTTAAGATTAAAAATGGGTTAAACCTGAAACGATTAACAATCTAAAACTAAACCTAAACCATTAATGATTTGAACCTAAAATCAAACCATTAATGATTTGAGCGCAAAACCAAACAATTAATGGTTTGAACCTAAATAATTTCGCGTATAATTTTATACAGGTCGATAAAAGACCCTAAACACATATAAATTTGGGCTCCAAAATTTCGAAGGCCCTGTTCAAGATCTCACATTTAACATACTAAGGGACAACTCTACTTACAATCTAAATTAGGCTTCATACCCAACAATTATAACCTAAAAAGTAGTACATTTGAAGGAAAGTAAACAAAGCATCTATCCTTTATGCATGGGGTGCAAAATTCAAAATTGCTCAAGGTGTTACCTCCTTATAAAACAAAAATCAAACAAAAACTCATATCTCACTCAAATATGTGATCTAAAGAACATAAATATACTTCAACAACAGGGGGGGTCACCGACAGACTGATCCGCCTACAAAGACTGTAATCTATCAATAATTCTAGATTGAGAAATTGATTTTTTTTTAATTTTTTAAGGGATTATCGAACATGAAACATGTAAGACACGTGTTGACGTTCCCAGTTACGAGTCAAATATGATGATGATGATGATGATGATGATGATGATGATGATAATAATAATAATGATGATGATGATGATAATAATAATAATAATAATAATAATAATAATAATAATAAAAATTAGTGGGTGTGGGACTAAAAAGGGTAATGGGAGGTTCATCATGGGAGATGAATACACACGTAAACAATAATGCAGTTATAAATCATCACAGACCAAACATAGAATCATGCATCATACCAACAACTGGTGACGAACAACAACAAGAAGAATAGTCAACAGGATACAAAATTTAAAATTGGGAAAACAAGTGGTTCCCTCATAACAATAAGATTCAGGAACAAAAAAATACGTCGTTAAGAACTAGAAGGATACTCGTGTAATGCATCGAGACACATCTTGATTTCGATATTTTATTTTATTCCCTTTTTATGTTGATATAATACGGTTTTATCTTCTTTATACAAATGGGGATCCTTAAATTTGAATAAAGATCTTTTAACCCTTAATCTGTAAATAGTTTTTATATCTATACTATATTATAAAGTATTTGACAAAAATTCTTAAAAATCATTTTTTATGCATGCAGTACTATTTATTGATACATATTACTTAAAATTAAATATTACAAGTAATTTGTGCATAAGTACAACTTATTAAAGCTTTATGTTTGAATTCGTGTAACTAACTGTGGATGAACATAATCAAATACAGGATAAACATTTCATTTTAAAGTATAAAAAATCTAAAATATAATTATGATAATTATTGAGTTCTAACATAATACTTAATTATTATCTTTATAACAAAATATATTATTAAACCTAAATTAATTTACTTCGTTATATTAAATTAAATTATAATAAAAAAATTAAATTAAAAAAATACACAAACAAGAACTTTTAAATAGTTAATTTAATATTAATATTGATATATTTTTTGCAAATTTTATATGATATTTTTAAATTTATATTTTATTCAAAAAATAAAAACATTATCGTTTTCTCAAAACCTCATTAAATAATTTATATCGACATGGATAAAAAACCAAAACAAAACATTGAAATGAAAATGTGTCTCGATGCATTGTACGAGTACCATTCTAATAAATATATAAGGTATTTACGAAAACTCCGTGTAAAATAAAATTTTGATTAAAAAAATGGTAAAAAGTGAAGAAATTTGACCATTTTTAGTCAATTTCCGTGTAGATGCTCTTATATATCAAAGTTGGCTTTTGGTTGACTTTAGGGGATAAAAAGGTTAATAATAGTGATGTTTGTAATACAACCCATTTGAGTGTGGTGGGCTCGAGGGTGAATGCTTCCAAATGTGGGTTGGTTTCAAACGACATCACCCTGTTTTGGGTTTGGTTTCTTCTGTAACCAGAAAACATAGACCAGAAAGGTGGTACCCAACCGGAATATTCTACTTCTTTCTAGAAACATCTATTAATTGTTTTAACTCAAGGTCCAGTGACACCGAAAACCAAACCAAACCAAACCAACCGAACCCGGTATATATTGTTTTCATGTTACAACATCAGCTAAATAACAGTAAAAGGTTAATAGAATTAACTCCCTTTGATAAGAACAAACCCGACATAATCTATAAACCTTCAACACGCAACTGGATAAATGGCGAAACCGTTAGTTCCGAGCAAGCCCCATCGAGACCGCAAGCTTGGATTATGAATTTAACGCTTGAAATACCCACCGGAACCGAAAGCTCGGATATATAAAAAGCTTCTACTAATGCTACTCCGAGATGCTGTAATCCTTGCGCTGATTTATCTGCTTCATTTTCAACGTAAATGTTGTACTTAGAAAATACGGGAGTAACGCCGCTGTTTAGTGCCCAAAGAATTTTAAGAGAAACGGTAATGTGTCCCTTAGAATCAGATCTCCAATCGATGTTTTGACTTTCGACAAGCCACTCTGAGGCCGGTGGGAAAACCATGTTTTCGGTAGAAGTTTTAATAGCGATATGACCAAGAACTGCGTAATATTCGGACGAATTGGACGGAGATTTTAGAGTCCCGACTTGGGGATTTGATTTGTAGCAAACAACATGAATTCCTGTTAATGTGAATCCCTCCATTGTGAGACTGCTATCTTGTATGATCCATTCTGGTTCAGCTGCTAGTTTTTTCACATGGCGTGGCATTATCACGCGGCTAAATTTGCTTGAAAACCGATCCATGGTAAGCAAGGTATCTCCCCAAGAGGCAAGAAGAACCGACGTCTTTTCCGTGTCCATGGTGTCAGTAAAATCAAGTAAAAGGCCGATCACGGAGCTACCGTCTGATTTCACCTGTAGAAATGTATGCATCGTATAATAATTTGTCGAAGAGAAATAGTTTGTTGTTAAAACGTCTCTAATAGGTATGTATACATTTGCTAAGGACTTCAGAAGGTCTCACCAGCACCCTAACCACTACAATAAAATCCGGTTTACAGGACGCCAACAATATATAAATGTCTTATGATTCATAAGCCTTAAGTTTATAAAATTGTGTGTCCCAGGTAAAAGTGATGCAAATAAGTTTATATGATGTTTTTATGCGTCTTAAATTCTTAACAAATTTTTCAGGACACTTTTGAAATAAAGTGTTATGTTAGTTTTTTTACAGTACATTTTTTAGAACTGTCCTATGAGCACATCTTTTTAATAAGTCACTTTTTTCACATAATGTCATATAAAAAAAATTAATAGATGCTTTATTTCAATATTATCCGAAAAAACTTGTTAAAATACCCAAAAACGTCCTATAAACTTACTGTAACACTTTTACATAGGATGGACAAGCAACAATAATCTTAGCCAAAAATCAGTCGTTTAAATAAGTCATATTGTTAGTTATCTCCTATAAATACGTACACATTGACATTATGGAACTGTAAGGGGCCAGATGTCATTTACCTTACCGGGTGAGCATGGTGAAGACCAAGAATCTTACCCGGTAAGAGGCATATCAAGAACCAATAATCTCATCCGGTAAGTAAGGGAAAAGACTCTTACACGGTAAGCACTTAACGGGTAAAAGATGCTTACCAACAATCCATTTAGATGGCCGAGAATGTTAATAAACAAGGTAAGTGAGGTGGTGACTCTTTGCGGTAAGCGCTTACCCAGTAAGCTTTCGGTAAGCATGGTGCTAAATTTTGTTGCAATCCATTTTTATCAGATAGATGTCACATAGTCATAAATACGCCTAACATATCGTGAGGCTTTTAAGAGGAGTTCAATTCAAAGATACGATTGTTTACCGAGTACGTAAAGTGGACTGCTGAATTCCCAAAACGAAGTTCTCCATGGAAGAGTCTTCTTGTCAAATAAGCATGATCTTCAAGAACACCTTCAAAAGTAATGTTCCCTCCTCCACTATATGATGCTTGCTTAAAACTATAAATTGCAAGTATAGATTGTATTTAATTAATAAAGATTAAGTTAAAATGTCAGAAAACAATCGATGAATTAACACGATCACCATACTTATATTGTGATCACGAAAACTTACTCAACGAATGCTTGAATTGTTTCAGTTGCAGCATCTCCAAAAAACTCGAGACATGGCTGTCAAACACAGTCAGATGTAATTTAGGGAGTGATTTAAAAATACTCAACTATAGGGGTGCCCACTTTGTACCAAATGAAACCAGCCAACATGTGCGTCAACTGTATCAATTACAGTCAGTTGGCAGTACCGTACCAAGTATGCAAACTTGGTTAATACACGAACCGCAGTAGTACCACGGTACCAACTTTTTAATTTTGAAGTTTTTGTATTAAAACTACTTAAACATATGTGTTACCTGCAAACTCAAAACTGTTGCTTAAAATTTGAACAAAATGACAAGTTTTCATATATACATCCAGAACCAACATGTACTAAACGAAAAAAGTTGGCATCAATTAAGTCGGTAGCAAGTACAATTGATTGGTATATGATATAAGATTTTGCATATCAATTATAAATGGTCGGTACACCATTGGGGAAAAACTTTATACCGTACCAAGTCCACCCGTACTCAACCATCATAAGAGGGTGTTTGGGATTGCTTATAAAAACAACTTATTGACTTATTCCAATGTGACACCGGTAAAAAGCACTTTTGAATGTTTGGATAAACAACTTATACCGGTGCCAAACCGGTAATAAGAAGTTTTTGAAAAAGTTAAACCCTTTTGACTTGGAATAAGTTGATAAGTGCTTTTGTAGAAAAGGCATAAGTTGTTTCAGATAAGCAATCCTAAACACCCTAAGTGTAAAATGTGATTAATTTCAAAAGAAATCATAAAAATATGCTACCTGGTAACTTTGATTTGAAAGATTGTTCCACGGAGCATCGGACACCAGTCTTCCATCAACGGAAAAATGGTAGCCATTACCCTAGAAAAATACATGTGTAACTTCATATTAAGATAATGCAATCAAAGTTATGCTTGATTTTTTGAGTAAAAGAACCGAGCATGTTATCTTCAAATGATTCTTTTATAACATCTTGGAAACGAGAAGTCTCTTTCTAAAAGATTTTAAAAGAATCGTCTGAAGATATTGATTGCTTTTGTCTCACGAAAATGCAATAAACTGAAAAATTACGGTTATTATGTACCCGATCGAAGTTGGAGTAGAATGGAAGAACTTTGGGGTAACTTTGCATTACTCCCCATGATTTCTCAACAAGACTCCACCACCTAACAATATATTAGACAAAGGTAAAACTACTACATATGCATTTCAGTGAAAGTAAAACTCTCTCTCTCTCTCTCTCTCTCTATATATATATATATAGCATCGGGTTTAGGGAGAAACCACAAAAAAATGTAAAAGTAATTCATCCTGTATGCATATGTGCATAAAATGCACACTTGTGTAGATTTTATCCACATGTGCATACCAGACAAATGAATAGTTATTAGGTGTTCCTCAGTTTTCCATTTTTTTTGTAATTTTCCCCTTAACCCAACCATATATATAAGCATATTAGAGGACAACATTGCGAGTGAATCCATTTCACCGAAGTTAGTCAATTTAGTCCTTCATATCCTCAGACAAATGGACAGGGACCTTAACAATAAGTGCTAAGGCTGATGATATTGTGCAAAATAAAACTCAGGTAAGTAAGTGGTAAAACCAACAAGTTTTTTGCTTAAAAAGTCATGCTACAAATCCAGAACAGAACAGAACAAAAGGGTTCCTACAATAAGTTAGTAAATCTCCTTGAGAGAGAACAAGTAAGAGCTAAATTTAGCAATAGTGGAAGAGGGTAATACCGATTCTGAGCCGTCTGAAAATCAGGGGGTTGCTTAGTCTCGTAAACCCATCCAGGGGCAAATATGGCTGCCGACACATCATCTTTCTTTAGTACATCAAGTGCCACATTTGTCTACTGTGCAAAAGATAATAATGGTTACATTTTGCTTCAAAAGCTTCGACCTTTGAGTTTATAATGGCAGTGATTGAACAAATGTAAAAAAACAGTGGTTTTTTTATCTAATAAACGATTTCCAGACTATCATTAAAACTATATGTAATGTTATAATGCAATTTCATAGAAACACAGATCGAATAAATTAGCCACATACTGTCCATTGTCCGTCACCATAAGTGCCTCTACCAAAAACATCAATTCCCATGTAGACGTCAAACTTTCTATTACCAGCAACAGCAGCCGAGGACCTTGGATAATCTTCCTATTGTACACATGAAATACCATAACTGAAATTTTTTGAACATTCAAACCGAACAATCAAAGAAAGGAAATAGTGATAGAATACCTTCCAGGAATAGTTCATAAATATGCCATCACATATATCAAAAAAAGGCTTGTTCTTATCATTCAGTTGATCTTGCCAATCAAGTTTACCCTCAATAGTAACACTGTCATACCTACATAATAGCATGCAAAGAGTATAAGAAAACATAGATCACCCGTTCAAAATAGACGCTCTGGGAAAAAACATAATTCTCAGGACACCTACCAGATAACTAAAGATCCGGGTTTTGAAGAATGCATAACCTTAGTTAAATGGCTGATAAATTCCTTCAAAATAGGAATCCTTCCAATGTCCAGCTCGACCTCCATATTAATCTGTCAAAACAAGGCTAAGCAAGAGAACATGTTCTAGTTTTGTCACTACTGTCATAGAGATATCATCTTGAAGAAAGAAAGATTATTAAGCCACGTAAATGTTAACAATAACATTCAGATTTCTCAAAAAGCAATCAAAAAGAATAAGAACGACACACGTCACTTTCTTTCGTGTATGAAGCATTAATAAAGCAATTGATACTTAATAATTCTGTTCTCAAATAATCTAGTCCTTCGGTTTTACCCTTCCTATGTCTTAATTGGGGGTTCTAAACATTAAATCTTCTCTTTATAACTTCCTTTTTCTTAGAATCAAACTTGCTCTGCTATCCATAATGGTTACATCCTACAACTTAGCTAATCAGATTATATCCTTTTTGCCTTAAATGTATAACATCTTCATGCATATTAGAGTGGCAAGAAAAGGTGAAGTTTTAGAGGAACAGTTGCATAGTGTTTCAGCCACCAAAACTACACAAGACCATAGCAAAGAATGGCATTAAATACAGCCCTGAGAAACAGAGCGAGCCTCCCATATGGAAGTTGCTATTAAAAAGGAAACTGAGATATACAAGTTTACCAGCCACCCATCAATAGCTTGCAGCAAGCGTAGTGGCAGGCAGGCGATAGGATACTGCTTACTACAGATTCGGATCGAATCAGAGTTCCCCGGCCTCTCACTTAGTTTTGTTCTTCTTCTATACCGTCAATACTTTCAGGGGGAGCAGGATCATCATTTCCACCTTGTTAATTGGGAATGCTAAAAGTTAAATCTTTTGCATTATAAATCCCGTTTCTCATAATCAAACTCGCATCTGCTATCCATAAGAATGGTTACATTTTACAACTTAGCTGATTAGATTGTATCCTTTTTTGCCATAAATCAGTTAAATGTACAAACATCTTCATGCATATTAGTGTGGCCTGAAAAGCTTAAGTTTAGAAGAAGAAGAACTCATAGAGTTTCTGCCACCAAAACCACACAAGACCATAACAAAGAATGGCATTAAATACAGCCCTGATAAATGGAACCAAGCTCCCATATGGAAGTTGATATTGAAATGGAAACTGAGATATAGTAATTTAAGCACAGGATATACAAGTTTACCAGCCACCCATCAAAGCCCAAGGCAACAGCAAGCTCAGACAAACGCTCAGCATACAGTTGGGTAACTTCAGTTGTTGCAAGGAACTGCTCAGCAATCAATCTTCCTTCCTCCCACTCTACTATAAAAGTTCCCAATACCTGTAATTTGGTTAATAATTGAAAACTATTAATTAAAAATGACTCTTAAGGGGATGTTTGGCTGAATGGTTTGGTACAGAATGATTAAGTGGTTAGTTTAAGAGATTCTCGTGATACAGTGCAAAATGAAATATAATTGTTTGGTAACTGTATTCAACCATGAAAAGGGTTTTAGAACCATTAAGAGGCAGGCTTTTTTTGCCAAACAAGATTCATATCTTAACGATTCAGAGGTTGCCTCTAAATGAAATTAAGAGGTAAACAAACAACCCCTAAATGGTTTTTCCTCGTTGCTGATTAACTTCGAAAAAGTTGGAGATCACCCTAAACTTAACCAACTTTCGAGGCTTGATTATGAATGATATCAATGATTTGGAGAAAAACAAAATCTCACATATGCATGCCAAATTTCCAGAAGTACGTAAAAAGTCGTTGTCGAATGATAAATACCTTAACTCCATGCTTATGAGCAGCGTTAACCCAACAAGGAGGCGGCAAAGTAACCAGATTATGAGAAAAATAGATGAACACATCCATCAAATACCAATGCCATATTCCATATGCATCAGGATTACTCCCTCCTTGAACCCATTTATCATCAATGTACCCTCCCGCCATATCATGACACGCCATCATCCTCCGCCGATTCGGCAACGAAACAACATCAACACCACTACAACTTAGAGGAACCGACGCTTTATTGAACTGGAAGTGGAAAGAATCGAAATAGGTTCGAAGTTCCAAGTCTTGTAAAGTTTTGATTGGGTAAGAGACTGGTGTAGACGGCACATAGGGATCAAAGAGAGTAGAATCGGGTTGTGGGGCGTCGTCGGTGGATTCGGTTTGTGGATCGTGGTTCATATTGGGGGAAAACAGAGAGAAGAGAGGGTGGGTGAGTGAAATGTAGAAATTGCGAAGGGAGATTAGGAATCGCCGATTTATGTAGGGTCTGAAGAGGTTGAACATAGAAGAAAGAAGGTTCAGTCTGTATTGGATTTCTACGAAGACGAAAGTGGTTCAACCGTAAATCTTTCCTCCGTGGGGTCCCGTTTCTTAAAGATCTTCAAAATTTCCCCAAATCAAAACAAAATCTCGGAAGATATTTACGTTATTGTTGGGATTCTTTATTTGAAACAAATTAAGTTTTTTTATAAAATTATTTATCAATTTATTATAAGTTAGAAAGATTTACCTTCTTTAAAAACTTCTTATTATCGGTTTGATACCGGTATAAGTTGTTTACCTAAACATTTAAAAGTGCTTATTAACGGTGTCATACCGGAATAAGTTAATAAGTTGTTTTTATAAGCAATCTTAAAAACCCCGTTTGATCCTTAAACTCAACAAATTTTATTCGAGATTCTGAATATTAATATAATCATTAAAATATTCAACAAAATATTTTTGGTTTTCTTAGATTTTAATTTTAAACATCTTTAACGGTCATGGGGATGTGATTGAGTATCACATCTGTCTAAGGTTCAATTGCAAACGTATACAGCAATTGTAGCCACTGAGTTTATTAAAGTTGATTTTTTACTGTTACAATTTACTGGGATTAATCTTGAGATACCCTTTTAAAAAGTGAAGATTGATTATTGTATCACTGTTTTAAAGAATTTTTTTTATTAACCTGGATATTTAATCCGCTATGCGAGCCGACTAATTTAGCGGGAAATCCCCGTCCCCGTTCGGGTCGGGTGAACCGGGTTTCCCACCAGGTAGGGGCAAATCACCATCTCTAGTGGCCACAAGGGTATTTTTGTTCCTTCTTTGATTTAAACATGAAACCTCTAGACACTTTTGACTTTTTGAACCAAGTTCAAACCAATCAGGTACCTGAAATTATAGAGTGCCAGTTAAAGATTTAAATGGTGACACCAAAATCATGATATCCAATCTCCACATCTACTTCACATGGTTTTTCAAAAGTTGTTCTAAATTAACTTTACCCTAAAAGTTAAGCTAGTTGTGTCACACTCATCTCTTATAAAATGAGATTTTCCATGTTCAATTATGGGAAATAATGGACTTTGGATTATATGTATATTATAAAGACCAAAGGTGTCGACCATTAGCTATTACGTTTTTATTCATGATACACAATTTATGAGGTGTCAACTCCTCATACGTACTGTTTATCTCTTAACAGTATATGCAGATTTCCAATTTAAGCAAGTGGTCTTCGCAGCGTAAATGATACTTCAACATCATTGATGAATCATGTATCAAGTAAAAACAATGTAAGAATTGAATTAGTGTTCAGTGACAAAGAATGACAAAGCAAGACAGACGATAATCATAAATAAAGATTCAAAATTGATATAGAATTTGTTAGAATTGACAATAAACGACCATGACATGTTCAATTGGACAAAAAGGAGATACCAACAACAAATTGTTTGTATAAATAGCAATTGAACGGTGTAAATGTGTATTAAATGTACGATTTTTTATCCAATTTTTATTTGACAAACATACTTTAAAAATTAAAGTTTTTTTTAATTTATACTTTAAAAAACACATAATTTCGTATCTGAAGTGACTGGTTTCACTAGTAATCAGTAATTGGATATAAAAATGTGTGTTTTTTGAAATTAGAGCCAGTCAGGATCAACGGAATCATATCAGTCGTAGTTTCCAACATAAGGATCAAGTTCTTTTTTCATATAATGAACTAAGCATAAAAACCGATCATTCTATATGTTTATAAAAGCATTATAAGTGTTATATCTTGTTATAAGAAAAAACAAAATCATGTAATTAAAGAATAAAAAAAGGTGACACGATAGAGGATGGCTAATTAGCTATTACATATAAGCAGAGTAATATATGGCACCAAAGAGTCTTTGGCCTAGCGGTATCGTAGCCCTTGGGCCTTCTAGGAGGTCAGGGGTTCAAACCTCACCATAGGTGAGGAGGGTGTGTGAGTTTATTTGTTGCATTTGTCGTATATAAATATTATATATACTTCAAAAAAAAAAGTAGAGTAATGACAAATTATAAGAACCGCAATTAAAGACTTAGAGTATCTCCAACAGCTTCTTTGTAATTGAGAAAAATCAACTTTCTATTTTCTATAATGTTTCAACAACTTTCCTATCTTGTTCCGTAAAATAGAGAATCATGAATAAAACTTCAAAAACAGACAATTCTCTAAAAATCCAAAGATAAGAGAGCGAAATGAGCTTTTTTAATTCATCTCACCAATGAGAGTTGAATTAATATCATTATATATAGACAGACAAACAGACAAAGGGGAGCGATCAAATACAAACCGCTCCCTTTTGTACAAACTAGCATCAATCAATAACATAATTTCATTTAATTTCCTTTATTTTTAATCCATAAAGATACGATTGTCCTTTGACTTCATAATAGATAATCTTAGTAATATTTTAATTATGTCTAAATCGGGAATATTATATAAATTAGAAGTTTTTTAGGAAATGATCAATCAATTTGTTTTTATAATAAGCTTGAAATTGGTAAATTTTTAATAGATACTTACTAACATCAGTGAAACAGGGTAATCTCCAATGAAACAGATTCAAACTGCTTAATGAAACAAGGTCATATATGATTACATCAAATTCATATGTATAATAGTTGTAATGAAACAAGGTCATATATAATTAATAGAATTTTTAAATAATATAATTAATAATAAAATCTTTAAAATAAATAACATATTAGAATTAGTTGTAATTTATTTTAAAGAGTTTTGACTTTTAGTTCTCTATTTTAAAAAAACTACTTAAAAATGGTTGGAAATGATATAGGTAAAAGCTGTGAACAGCATCTCCAAAAGTCAAAATATATGCTATTTCTTGAAATGTGTACCATCACTCGTGTGTCAATTATTGCATCAAATTTACAAGTGTTTACGGGTATCTTAAAAGTATAGGCAACGAATAAAATCTAATATATTTAAAAAAAAATACTCATCTCTCCTTTCTCAACTCTTTGTAACATGTATATATACATACACAATTGAATATGCACACGTTTCAGTTCTATTAATAAAAAGAGTATCACGAACCAATCTATTTGTGAGATTAGGGATCGGCATATATTATCATAAGCATAAGTGAGGCGGAAGCTCCTCGTACGGTTTTGAACCTGAGCCTTTCCAGTTTTTTTTTTATATTATTCATTAAGTCCCAACTGGGCGGGATTAAATATACGAGTATGACAGGGTTACCCGATACTGTAATAATCGTTGATCAACACGAAGAATATACGACCCTTCAAGAATGTATCACGTTGGGAATTCCAACAATTTGTTTTATCGATACTGGTTTTGACCCTGGATTTGGGTTTGGGCCTTTCCTGCGCAACTTAGGTGGAAGGAGAAGAAGGCCTCCTTCCGAGGGGTCCGAGCCAATGGACAAATGAAAGTTTAACTCCTAAAAAAGCACTTCGCGAAGCCTTCCGGAATTTGATTGATTTAGTGATTCCCTTTTTACATCCCAAATTTAATCCCAAAGATGAAATTTTAAATTTAGAGGACAATAAAGATTTTGTCTTTTCTAATAAATTGGCTAAACTAACAAAAAATTTAAAAAAATGGGGTTGAAATCGATTTTATTGGGCAATTCTGAATATTTTCTTATAAATAATATTGCAGTTTGTGACCCATTCCGAATTCACGAGAAATTTCACGAGCATGTTTACAATGTATTCATCTTGTGTGCACATTTAATTATATGTATATATTATAGGAAAGAGAGAGACATGTATGAAATTTGAATTTCTTAAAAAATATATTAATATTTATTCAATAAATAACATTAATTATCTTATATCAGTTGCTTATAATGGATCTTACATATCTCATAAATTTTGGAGTTATCAAATAATTAAGCCCTTATATGTTGATATTCGTAGACGGATCTAAATTTTTTTAGTGGGAATGCTAAATAATTAACATCAATTAAATAAAGCAATAATTAATTATAAAATGTATGGATGAATTAAAATGACATATAAATGATTTATGCAACAAAAAGTTAAACATAGAGTGAAATTGCAGACATCTAATTCAACATGCAATGATATTACCGGGGTTAAAAAAAAGGTCACAAGGATTTGAACTTGCAAACATCTAATTCAACATGTAATGGTATTACCAGTAGACTGTAATATTTTTTTTGTTAATTTATAGTAGAACACATTAAAATATATGAACCTTTTAAGACCCGTAATTTTTTTTCCAACAGATCAACATGATAGAGCAGATGCATGTATACCCTCTAGTGATGGTCAAACCGGCCCGGCCCAGGACCGGCTTGTGACCGGAACCGGTTACAAGAAACTTCAGGCCTGGTACCGGTTTTTGGCCATCACTACCGTCTATGACCGTCATAAATTTTCCCATGTTGGTATAAAAAATTGTTGCTATATATTTCCAATATTTCATATTTTCATATAAATCATCGTTATAAGAAAATTGTATCAAAATGGAACCAATTTGACAGGATTTCTATTTTATGAAATTAACTTTTAAAATAATCATTTAAGGATCTATAACAAAGTTTTCATTTATTTAAGAGTCTGATTGACCTATTGACCTGATAAGGATGACATACATCTAAGTATTTTGCCAACTAAATTTTATATCATAATTAAATTTACAAAAAATAGAAGTAAAATGATGACATGACATCCAAAATTATGCCATGGCATATGTATTTTTATTTACTTACACACTAAAATTTCATGTGAAAGATAGTTAGGATATTTTGGTCATTTTACATATTTTTATAAAAAATAATATACAATTCTTAAAAAGCATATGTAGAAATTCTTAGGTGACAGTTTAATTTATTGGAATTCGGGATAATCTGAACGAATTGGAATGGTCAATTTGTTTTTTATGTTTGGTTCATTCATTTTGTTTGGTAGGAATTCAAAATTCACATATGATGGGATGTAATTTCCTTGGGTTCTAACAAGTAATTTCA